CACCATCACTACCATCCTCACCACCACCATCATCATCACCACCATTACCATTACTACTATCATCATCATCACCCCCACCTCATCATCATCACCATCACCTCATCATCACCACCATCATTATCACCATCACCATGATCACTCCATCATCATCATACAATTTACCTCGGTTTTTGGATCAAGTTGTCGTTTCTCAATAACGTTGGCCAGCTCGTCGTAGAACAACGCGGCAGCTTCGGGAACACGACTGATGCTACTGCGGACCAAATCTAACAGACTGATCACCTGTAGAGAAGAAAATAAACTTAAGCGTCGCTGTTGTTATTGTTGTTTCTATAGTTGTTAGTGATGTTGCTGTCGATGTTGATATTATACTTTATACTTTATTTATACTTTGTTGTTTGTTATTGTTTGTTGTCGTTCTTCCAATCCGGGTTCTTCCATTAACTTATTGCACGATCATCCAGATTAAAAATCTTAATTGTAGCCGAGCTGAACGTCAGAAACTATATTATATAATTATTATTATACTCTTGTTATTGTTCAGTTCATGACTGTGTTTGGTGTTCCTGCAGTTCTTGTTGTCGCAGTCGTTGTCTCAGAGCCCCAACTTAAACCTCTAAAATGCTAGCGACTTTGGATTCTGCTGTAACAAACCAACTTAACAATTTACGTATTGTTTATATGCATCATATATATACTTGCCTGTTTCTGTTTTTCATTTAAAACGATAACGGGCTGCGATTGACTAATTGACTCCAGTGGCGTCTCTTCTTCAACGGAACTGTATAAAAAGATATAAAATTTAATAAACATATGTATAGTAAAGTCTTGAACGTGAGGTTCCAACTTCAGGGTTGAAGGTAGTCTTATATTTTTCAAGCTGCATGTTAGATCCTACAAAGGTTTCTAGTAGGTCTCTAGCCCAAATATTTATTTTGTAATATAATGTATTAATAATTGTAATGTACATGGGAAAAGAAAAAAAAACCAAGCTCGTGACAATCTCCAGTATTTACTGCCACATAAACGTGTGTTTTAATCGGTTTAACAAAACCAACCTCGGCTTAGCCATACTTCGTACAATCATTATAGCACCAATAATACCAATACGCTTATACCTATAAAACACAAAGAAGAATTACTCTGTTATTAAGTTGAACAACGGTAATAATTCGTTTCAACTCTTCTCCTTGTTTTATCTGGCAATAAGTTTTCATAATCTTTAACCTTTTTTTGTTTGTTTGTTTATTGAGTTACTCAAAACGTGGAAATTTTTTTTTTCAGGTAGAAAATCCCCTCCAAAACTACAGTTGTACTACAGTAACTCTTGTTTTCGTTCGCTTGAGGAATAATTATAAGAGTTTGCGAAAACTCCCAAGCAAAATTTCGTTCGCCAATTCTTATCGACTTTCATTCTAACCCATAGAATGGTTCGGTACAAAGTTATGGGCATTAAACATAAAGTTATGGTCACCTACTTTACGGAGTTGCTCGACAGTTGCTTTCTGATAACCATGTGTAGATCATCCTGCAAAAAAATCACATTCATTTTTGTAAAAAAAACCCGATATATACAGTATTGCCTTATTGGCCGATAAATCATTATCCCATAAAATCTCGAAACGTTGGTAGCAAAGAAAGGCTTTCGCTGAGGTAGTTGTATCATCAGGGCATGGCGGTATACGCAGGATTTTTCACCATGCAGGGGGCAGTAATACATATATGCTGAAATAAGTACCCAAATGTAAATGCATTCAAAGTCACATCAGTTAGATGAATGTTTATGTCTGTGGAGGATTTCAGCGAGTGGTATACTGAACTTGAATCCTTTTCCGGCTGATAATTTCAGCAAATTTAGAACAAAAGTTATACCAAATAAGGAGTGCATAATAACTACACACAATTTATAAAAACTGTATATTTCGAATATACAAGATATCTTGCAAAACAGTGCTAAAAATGAATCAAATTTGATTCGAAATATAGCTATAGTTTATATAAATTGTGTGTTATTATTATTATGCTGCACTCCTTATTCGGAATAACTTTTGTTCAAAACTGAACTTGAATTTGTAACTTCCAATGCGGCGAGCTGGAGGTGAAGGATAACGAGTCGTGTTTTAAAGCAACCCTTGGCTAAAGATGGCTTTCTTTCATATTTTTGATACCTTTATTGACCCAATTTGACATTTGTATATTATTAATCATAATTATAATTATAAAAGTCAAATTGTTTGAACTTCCTGTCTGACCTTCCTGGTATTATAAATATATAATTATACAAGTTCATGCATGCACGCGACTTCAACAAATTTGGAAGGAATTACTATATACAGTAGGAGATCGGTTTTTAAGCACAGGCACTAAATCATGGCTCATAGTCTGACAGTGACAGGAAATTTGGTCAGGCCAAATATCCAAAGTGTTCTGGCTGAACGGGGGTTTCAGAATTGTGTTCTTCTTGGTAAAGGTTCCTTTGGAGAAGTATTAAAAGCAGAGTGTCAAGATGATGGCGAATTTTATGCCATAAAATGTCTCCCCCTCACTGGCAACACGGTAAGCCCAAAATATATTAAGCGAGAACTAGAGTTGCTTATAACATTGGAACTGTCGGATCGAAATGTTATCAAATATTTTAAGAGTTGGATAATGCAAGATGGTGACGTACAACGAGTGTGTATTCAAATGGAGTTGTGTTGGGCAAATTTAGAAACATTTATGTATGAGAATGACATGGGTGGCGCGGAAATTATCAAAACTCAAGGTCCGCAACGACTTTACAAACAAATTTTCACACAGATTCTGAATGGCTTAGTTGCTATCCACTCAATCGGCTGGGTACATCGCGACATTCATCTCGGTAATATCCTCATAGTAAATCCAAATCCACAACAAATCCGTCATATTCATGTCAAGATCGCTGATTTTGGACTTGCAAGGTATATTGGAATAGAATTCGAAATGTCCACTACCATGACAGTCGTCCCAACACTCGAGAAACTATCGCCAGATGTAGGACATAGGCTATTCATGGCGCCAGAACTTTCAACCGACACATATGACTTCAAGGTAGACGTTTACAGTTCCGGCATAGTGCTGTATTTACTTGACTGTTACCTCCCAAACATGCAGGCGTCAATTGAGAGAGGAGATTTTGGCATTGCGAGAGGGAAGACGCTCGTCGGCTGTATATTTATATCATCAGGACGACCAAAGACTATTCAAACTGATTGAATGGCTGCTGCAGAATGATCCAAGTAGACGACCAACTGCAGCTGAGGCTTTAGCATACACGCAATCCCGGACCTACACTGAATCCGTAACGAAGAGGTTTTTGCTGAAAAAACGTGGCGATGATATTTCGTACCGATGCTGCTCGAATGATGATACCTTATCAGGCATACAAGCTGCAATAGAAGGACGTTTTGGCATTGAAAAAGATGCTCAGATCATATATAATGAGAGAACTAATGCTAATGGGAACGAAAGGATACCGGTTGGGTTAACGACTAACGAAGATGTTCGTGAAATGTTCAGTAGTGCTGAGAGGCATGGGGAAAGACCGATTGTTGTTGTGTCAGAAAGAGAAAGGGGTAACGCGACTTCTAAACATCATAGGGGCATGCCTCCGCACCCTCTAATGTGATATCGCGCCTTTAGCACCTACTTTGACCTTCGAAGGGGGCTATCGTAAGCTTTTATTTCGGGTTTGTTCTGGAGGTTCACGCCATTTCGTCGATCAAAATGGACACACACCCTCCCCACAGTGATTAGATCCAAAATACGCCTCTGATATCAATTGTTGTCAACCGAATCTTTATCGATCAGTGCCTCTTTAAGGAATTTTCACTGCGATGAGGGCAAAGGCAAAAATATTTTTTCCAAATAGAAAAAAATTTGGGTTGTAAAGGCTTGCCCAAAAGCGCGAGACATGTGAAAGGGAGAGTGTACTTGTAGCTTAATTAGTTAACTTTTAATATACATTACTGTAACTTTCTTTAACTATTACTTTTAACCTCGATCTTAGAAAATCAGATTGATTTTGTGAATGTGATTTTGTTTTGGTTGGGTAGCAGGATCGCTTTTTCTGCACTTCTGAGCAGTTGAGACCAATGGTTGAAGCAATTTCTCAAGCGTCAGAATCAATGTCCCCCTACCCCAGTAATATCGTTAAAAAAGGCTATTTTATCGACTATAGTGGTAAGTAGTCAAAATGTCGTTCAAAATACTGTATAGTATTATTGACGTATTGGAGTCAAAATGAAACGTCCAGCCAAATTTGAAAATTTGTTTTGTTATACCCAATATGTGAGTTAACTCGCTGCGTTTTGGCAGGCAGCAGAGAATCATTGTGTTTGAGTTGCATGTTGCCATAGAGCATTTCAATTAAACACAACTACAGTCGTCTTCAATAGAATACCACGTTTTTTAAAAAGCGGGCCAACGGAGTGTTTTGTATTTATTTATAATGTAGACATGCTCTATCAATCACGAGACTAACACTAAGGCTATGAGTATTATAGATAAGAAGAGAAAAAAAATAATTTGAGTGACACTGATTAAAAAAGACATTTTACCTATAGTACCGCTCCTGTATATATGACAAATATGTATTACATTTTACTAAGCGTTCAAAGGTATAATTTCCAGTGCATTTGTTTACAAAAGATACAACATCACGAACAAATTAAATAAATTTGTAAAAATCCGAGATGTTTTAAAAAATCATAAATGAATGCATATATATTATAAGGATGACAAAGAGGTCACATTCATTTAATTCGTTTTGGAGATCGTTCATTTCGTTCAATGGAACATTGCATCTATAATACGCTAAATGTTTTTGCATCTATAATATGTTAAATTGTTTTAAGCAGGGCAAATTAACGCATGTAAAAGGTTTTAAATTTATTTCGTTAAAAAATAGGAACATTGGTTAACATCTCATCGAATATGGATGACGTCATATGGTTGCAATGTTAGATAAAACAAAATTTGTTTATTTCACAAGTACAAGCGTCTCATTACATTTGTGGTTATATCGAAAACGTTATTTAAATTAAGACCTCATAGTCCGCCCATGCATGAACGCTTTTGCAGCAACTAAAATTAACCATAAAACTGTTGTGTTTGACCTTTCTGAACTTCCTGTTCCTGTTAGCTCTTCTTGGAATCATTAATATTTTCTGGGCGAACGCGCTGCACACATCACAAGACGACACGTTATCAGTTCAGGCAATTTACAGTGCATTAGTTTATTAAGTAGTTTAGGACGTAAAATACTATGGATACTATGGGAGGAAGCGGTATACGCGGAATTTGAAAAAGCTTTAAGCAAAAATTATCAGATTATCAGGAGACATCAATGAAAGCATATATCACAAGGATGACGAAAAGTTGAGCAGTCTAATAGACCAAATGCCCCAAGAAAATCCAAACAAACGTCCCAGTGCACGCGAAGCTAAGGAGTATATGTTTCCCGAAGCGAAACATTCAACTGATCCTAACGATGCATCGAAGACCGCATTCTTAGCGCGAAAAGAAAACGAACAGGACTCCAGTCAATGCCGTTTAAACGAATTCACGTTGTTCGCAATGACAACAGAAGTTGAACGTTGCACTGGAATCAAGAGAGGCGGGCAAGTTCTGCGACAAGAGCGTACGTGGTAAATGGTGAGAAGAAGCGTATCAAAAAAGAAGATGACGTCAAAAATATTTTCAAGATTGCCGCAGAAAAAGAACGCGAAGTCGAGGTAGTGATCGAGCAAGAAGAAGATGATGATAACAAAGAAATTGAAGAATTGAGTTCTGTAGAGACAATTCTGTCTAATTCTGTGAAGTCCATATGATATACTTCAGTTTCAAATTCCAAACACTCTAACACTGTAATGAAACTTTCCAGGGGAATAACATTTATACTGACTTTACCATAATAATGTACCATAATAAATTTATGTTACCATGAAGACTATGTAGCAATTTTTATTTCATTAAAGTATGAACCAAAATGTTGTTGTTAGATGTGGAGGGAGCATGCCCTAACAACCGTGGTGCCAGATGTACGAATGACCGGATAGCGTTATCCATGCGTTTTGGCAGCCAGCAGAGAATCATTGTGTTTGAGTTGCATGTTGCCATAGAGCATTTTAACTACATACAACTACAGTTATCTTTAATAGAATACCACGTTTGTTAAAAAGCGGGCCAATGGAGTGTTTTGTGTTTAATTATAATGTAGACATGCTCTATCAATCACAAGACTAAAACTAAGGCAAACAACTGCCAGTGGCGGCGCAAAAGGTGTGTGTGTGTGTGTGGGGGGGGGGGGACCTCCCCAGTCGTCAGGTAGTAGGAAAATTATTGAATCCCAGTGGGTAAATTGTTTTTGTAGTCGGCAAAACAGGGAGGGAAAAAAGTAAAATATTTGAGTGACACTCCTGAGAACTGCGTATATGACAAATACCTTTGAACGCTTAAGACTCGTTTACACTTGAAATTTCTGCTGCGATTTT